GCTTCATTTTCCAGCAATAAAGTTGGACTGGGTATATTTATACCCCCCTTCACTACCCAAAGAAGTCTCTGAGTGGCTTACAACCCCTTCCCCTTCGCACAACAGACACCCTGTGATGTAGGTGCGGCTGATAGAACTCTTGTGAGAGCTGCCCTTGTGAGAACAGCTCTGAAAGCACTTGTAACTGACCCAAGGTTACACCAGCAGCTGCATGTTGAGGAATGGGGAATCAAATATGGTTCTCCAGGATTCAGAGGTATACTGCCTCTGAATGTGAAGGCTCAAGATCTCTACTCCATCACCAGATGATTTGGATAAAGAAATATAGAGCTGGGTGTCAGTAGCATATTGATGACTGACTCTGTTCCAAAACCACAAATTATTTCTCCTAAGAGCTTTACAAAGGGTTTGGTCCCACACAGTAGAAAATTTGTCCCCTATAGAAACCTTCTAATTCCTGCCCCTAAGGAAAGATGTGAACCAATCCAAAGCACATCCCTTAATCCCTCCTCCTACATCCAACCATCTCAACAGGATGTATCAAAGGCTGCTGATAAGTCTAGCAAAAGTAGCAGAAAGTCTAGCACTTTTGTCTACATTTGGAAGTCAACCATATTAGGGCCACTGGTGTTGTCTCCTTAGCCCAGCCTGAAACTAGACTGAAAAGGGGTCTAGGGTAGATGACTTATTCAAGAAGGCCTGGAGTTGCTCTTAGAGACCAGGCAATAAGTGGCCACATCTTCTCTAGCACTGGTTTTATAGCAACAGACAGATGACCACCTGTTTTAGGCAGAAGGGAAGATACCCTAGACATTAGGGACTGATTGATGTAATCTTTACATACTAGTATCTAGGACAGGCAAAAGTCCAACGCACAAGTGGTGGCCTTCTCAGATCCCGTTGTAGTAATCAGATCAAAGTGATTCATAAAGGGAAATAACTTGTGAACAGGAAGATTTCTGATCCTGGGCTGGCTGGTGACCCATAGAAGTGGCAGCACTCCAATTCCAAGCTGCAGTTCTTTGGTTTCAAGGAGGAATTGAAGTAAAATTACACATGGGTGTATGTGTGCTTTTTTGTAAGAAAGTGTTTATTGAAAAGCCAGTATCAACATATTTATATATGTATAAATATATTTTCAACAACTGTCACCTAATTTGTGCAACATAAGAATGCAGCTGTGAACATGAGTATAGCCATCCTGAAACAATCCTGTTGACTGACCATACCATGACTTACTCTACGCCACGGGGAACTCAAAACCAAAGAGAGGAGGCGGATCCTTTTTTTGGTTTCACAGTTTTGTTTTTACATTCACTTTTTTTTAAATGCAATTATAGTCAAGGATACCAGAGCTCCAACTAGACCACTGGCTCTGTCACATTTGTTCCAGTTTTGGGTTTATTTGGTTTTTTGACCGCTTTCTATAAATGGGGTCTAGAAAGCCATTTCATAGATCTATTAAGATTCGGTGTAGGCCTGCTACCAATTTGGTGTTTAGTAGTTGAGGAATAAACAAATGGAACTGAAACTGAATGGAAAGGGAGCCTAAAAAATCCTTTTATCCTTGGTTACTTTGGCTGAGCAAATTCTGACCTGAAGTGCTTGAAGCTTCAAAGGAAGTCTGTAGTTTTCTTTTTTTGAATTGCTAAGATTAATGCATAAAGCCAAAGGTTTTACAGAGAAGTTATGTCGTTTCACTTTAACAAATTTTCTGTACAATTTTACCATACAAGGAAAAATGTTTAAATTTAGTAGATTACTATGTACATAAATACTGTCTGTGTCTTCCAAAACCTAGGGTAGCTTTATAAATAAACATTCCTTGTTCTCATTTAAAATTAATCTACACATTTCATCATCTTACATGGGTAACTGGAAGCTGATGCCTATGGGTTGTGCTTCCACACCATCTACAGCATCATCCCCAAAACATCAGGTGCAGCTTGTTTCTGTGTGTTCCCCAGGCCTCATATAAAATCATGTCTTGGGATCTGCAGGCAGGCCCGTTGCCCCCCCTCCCCCCCAGCCTCCCAGAAAAGTACAAAAGCATGCAGGTCCCTCTGTTGTGTTATGTCTTTGTTGAAAGGTTAATAGCACAGAGTAGCACAGAATCAGCTGGTGGGGAACTAGCCAGTCATGTGCTCAGGGTCTAACATATTCTGTGTGGACAGGGTGGGGGAAATAGGACCAATAACCCTAACCCTAACCCAAATCTCCCTCCCCCCTTCTTGCCAGTAACAGTTTTAAAAAATATTAAAGTGTTGGGGCATCTCTCTCATCATCTCTCTTTGATGCAGGGTGCAGTTTGGGCAGCAGAGCATAGTGGTTAGATTTGGGAGACCCAGACTGCGATCCTCGAAGCTGACCTCGCACCCCCTCTAGCCTCATCTACCACACAGGGTTGTCGTGAGGATAAAATGGAGGGGGAGAGAATTATGCAGGCTGCTTGGGACTCCACTGGGGAGAGAAGGAAGGTGATGGGAGAAAGAGCCATCAAGCCACAACCATCTTATGCCGACCCCATAGAGTTTTCAAGGCAAGAGACATTCGGAGGTGGATTGCCATTACCTGCCTCTCCATAACAACCCTGGACTTCCTTCTTCTTCTTCTTTTTAAGTACCCGAGGGTACACTTTTATTATTTTTTTCATTATACTACAGACATACATACAAACAACCCTGGACTTCCTAGATGGATAAGTACTAACCAGGGCCAACCCTGCTTATCCTCCGAGACCTGATGAGATCAGACCAGCCTGTGAGATTTACCTACAAAATAAATAAATTTTCACTACCCCAAGTTTCTGCTAGCAGAGGTGCTTTTTGTTACTGCAAACAAAACACCAGTTGCAGCAATAGCATCTACCTTGCACTCCGGGTGGGCATTGGGTTATCGTGTTGGTCTGAAGCAACAGAACAAAGTTTGGGTCCAGTGGCACCTTTAAGACCAACAACATTTAATTCTGGGTATAAGTTTTCGTGTGCACGCTGTGCTGTGCGTTTGAACCCTTTCCTTGGAAGAATTAAACTCTGTTGGTCTTAAAGGTGCCACTGAACTCAAACTTTGTTCTATTGGTGGTTTTAAATACCCACGTGGAACATAATTCTGTGATTTCATAATAGCCGGCTGTCATAACAAGAACCTGTCCAATGGGCTAGAAAACAGAAGCAGGAGAACTTTTTAAAAACCACAAGAGGACAACCTGTAAAAAGCCTGCAGGGCTGTGCAGACTTGGATCATCACACAATCAGAAGGGGGAAATCCAACCAAATCCAACTGATGCATTAATGGAACCATTTCTGCCTTTCCTAAAAAGGTTCTCCCCAATGGAGTTCCCGGGAATTCTGACTGGGTGTCTGCTGAGAGGGATCTTGCCATCTTTTCCTAATCTCTTCTGCTTCTGTTAGGTCCCTACCGTTTTTGTCCTTTATCATGGCCAGCTTTGCATGGAACGCTCCCTTGATTTCTCCAATTTTCTTGAAGAGATCTTAAGATAATAAGGCACATTGTAATATTTCCTCCTTTGAAGATAAGACATAAAGTTCATGTAGTCAGTGTAACTTGATAGGAGGAGTCGGTGCTCGATGGTAGAACCCTATTTTGAACCCTATTTGGAGGGGATGGCTTAAATTATTATCAATAACATAATCCTCTAATTTATTTTTAAAATGCTTACTATATAGTTTACAGGCAATTGGCAACAAACTAATTGGCCTATAGTTGCCCGGCTCATTCCAACTGTTTACTCACATTGACATCCTCCTTTTGATAACCAATCTCATAGGTTGAATTTCGCTTTAATCTTAAAAATTGGCCAAATGGTAAATTATATCTAAGATGAAAAGGATGAAAAGAAGAAAACAATAAATAAGAATTTTTATCTGTTGGTTTATGAAAAGGTTTAACAGCCAAAGTTTTATCCTTACTGATACAGACTGTGGTGTCCAAAAAATGTATCTGCTTTTTTAAACAATTCTGGTTTTCATATGTGCTTTTGTGGCTAGGCATTTGTGTCAATCTCTTCACAGTTCCGCTTACACAGCCGGCAAACTGAAGAAGTCAAAGGAAACGCATCTTCCAAGAATCTAGAACGGGCGTCTTTGCAAAGGCTGTTTGGAAAATGTTATGACTATGTGGACTCCTCCTATCAAGTAACCCTGACCACATGGACTTTATGTCTTATCTTCAAAGGAGGAAATATTGTATCTTATGCCTTATTATAGTTACAATATGCATTAATGTTGCTGTTGTGACATCGCCAACTTTATAATTGTTTAATATATTGTTTTGGCAATCTTTGACGGTGTTTTCTACTAGTGGAATTTGTATATTAGACTTAGTCACTTAGACTGGAGACCTGGGTCATACACGAGGCAGAGAAGCCTCCAAGGGGTGAATGCAGCTGTTGTTGGTGGCAGAGACCCTGCAGCGTGTGCAGGAAAGTGAATCTCTGGTGTTTCCAGTTAAAGGATCTCCGGTGCTGCAGAAGATTTCTCTCTGCCCGAGACTCTGGAGAGCAGCTGCCATTCAGAGCTTGTGCTACGGCTCCAGTAGAAGGTAGATTCCTGTGTCCAGGTGCCGCCCCTTCCTTGTAGCAGCCACGGCCATTTCAGTCCCCTCTCCACATCACCACCCAAGGGGCTCTTTCACACAGTACCAACAGGGAAGCTGCAGCTGCATCTTCTGTTCAGGTGTTGCCAAAGAATCCCTGCGGTGTCAGAAGGCAGATGAGTGGGTGGGCCCTAGAAGGAGGCTCCTCACCTGACTACCCTATAACTGCCAGAATGACAACTGGAGTCTTCTGACCCCAGATGCCTCCTGTGTGAACCAGGCCTTGGGTCCGGTCTTGCTCTCTGACCTACCGTGCCGCACTCTTCTCCCAGTTTCTCCTGCAGGTGCAAATGGCCTTTCATAAACAAGGTAAGTAAAAATAACCCGTGATGAGTGAGACAGAGGCAACCTCTTCCTTAACAAAGCCAAAGGATTTATTGGGACATATCTGCAGTGGTGCCCTTTTGCCATCATAACTGCAGTGAATTAAAACATTTGCTCGTTCATTATACAGGCAAGCTGGCCACCGACGGGGGGACTCCGTCCCAGTCACGCCTTGATCTATCTGAGAGTAAATCCCACCTGTTTCGGTGGCATTTACTTCCAAGGAAAGGGTTCAAGTGGTGACCACACCCCACCCGTCAACACTCCCAAGGCTCCTTTCTCGCAGAGGCATGTCCCTAGTGCATGTCAGAGTTCATTTTATCTTGGAATATATACAGATTGTTTGTGGCTGCAATAGCAATAATGTTCTCCGTCGGGTGCCATGCTGTGTGCAGGATCTTCTTGGTAAAGTCCAAACTGTCGACGCTGATGTCGTCTTTCCTCCGCTTGCCTCCCACGCACACCCGGCGGGGCTTGAGAACGGCCCTGGGCTTGCTGCTTTCACGCGAGGCCTCCAGAGTAACATCACGCTTGGTGTTCCGGTCAAACATTCGGAAGAAGTTGTTGTAGGCCCCTGTCATGATAACGCTTCGGGGGAAGGAAAACAGGAGAAGGGTTAAGGAGCGGGTGGAGAGCACAATCTGCGAGGGAGGTCTCTGGACCCGCCCCCCCCCCAGCAGGAGCTCCCTCCCATGGGCTGGGGCTGGGGCAGGTGGACTCTCAGGGGGCTCCGGCCTTTAAACCTCTGCCTACTAGCCATGTCTGCCTCATCCATCCCTACAGTCGTAGCGCTCCCGTAGTTCTGGCCCGAGAGCAGAAGTGTTGGGCTAGGATCGGGGAGACCCAGGGTTCAGTTCCCCACTCTGCTCAGAATCAAAATAAGGTTTCTCGCGGCTTGACCGGCAGTGTGCCAGAAGCAATAGGGGCAGAACATAAAGGCATCAAGATGAGATAGCTGAAAACAGCAAAATAAGGAGAGGGGGGGGGAACATTTAAAGTGCTTTCTTGCTTATCCCTCCAACTTGCTGCGCTCCGACTGTTAAGCTCCATGTGGCACTCTCAAAGTAGCGGATATAAATGCCCAAGAATAATTCTGCAAAAATTCTTTAACTGTTCTTAGTGGAGGTACACAAGTGTCTCTTTCTATTTCCTATTAGCTGCACATGATTTATTGCTGATCAGAGAGGCTCAATCAAGAGTGACAATTAGAAGGACAAGTTACCTGTCAGACCCATTCCATGCACATTCAAACTTGTCAAAGATGCAGTCGTTCTCATAAAGTGAACACAGCTTGCTTCGAAGGTAGTCGTGGACCTGGTAAAGAACAGAAGGCAACATCATTACCCCAAGTTCACCCTCCCTCCCCCCCTCCCACAAGCCCCTGGCTTCTCAGCGCACAGTGGCGATGGCTGGCCTCAGTTTCTTCAAACTGCGAACAAACGTGAACAAATTAAACCAAACAGAAAATCTTCCTAGAAGTCACCTTCTTGATAGGTCATGTTACACGTGTAAGTGCATCTGTCCGCATGCCGTGGCTCCACTGTCAGATACGAGAGACTCATCTGCATCCTGAGCCCCAGAAACCAACTGGCCAACAAGCCCCCGTGCCCACTCTGTGACTTGCTGAAGACTGGAGACGGGAAGGCACATCGGGGCCTCTCATGGCTCTCAACAGAAGGCTCGGGTGTTTCAGGCGGGGACATTTTTAGATGTGGCCATTTCCCATGCGCTTTATGTTGGTGCTGGACGGCACCCGTTAAGTCACAGCCGACTTCTGGCGGCCCCTGGTGGGGTTTTCAAGGCAAGAGGCATTCGGAGGTGGTTTGCTATGGCCTGCCTCTGTGTCGCAACTCCGGACTCCCTTCCTTAGGGGGCCTCCCATCCAAGCACTCGCCACGGCCGGCCATGCTTAACTTCCAAGATCTGACGGGATCGGGCTATCCAGCTCAGGGAATATGCTTCATATCTTAGCTGAAATGAGCTTTCCTGAACAGGGAGCTCCCGGTTCCTGCTCAACATCACTGCTTAAGCCTGGGCCACAAACTCATCCAGAATCCAGCTTAACTATACTCCGTGATAATAAGGCCTGTGGTTTACAGTGTCTCGGTCAGGTGTTGTTTAAAAGGAGGGCTGTTTACATCCAACCTCATGACGTCACTCTGATCTGGACCACTACCCACTTCCTCGTCCTGGAATATCACCCCTTGGCCACCGTGGCCTCCTCCTTTTGTGGTTTCATCTCAGTATAGAAAATCTGGACATGGCCCAGCCAGGGCTGAACAGTTGAAAGCCCCACTGATTCAACTGGAATTCATGGTCTTAACAGTGCCAATCTGGTGCAGAGTTACACCCACGGAAGTCAATGGGCTTAGAAGGGTGTCACCAGTGTTCCCTCTAAGCTGGGTTAATGTGAGCTAGCTCACAGTTTTTTAGCCTCCAGCTCACTTATTTTTGTCTTAGCTCAGGCAGGATGGCTCCAGAACAAACTGACTGACGCAGTAGCCAAATCGCTCGCTCACAACTTTAATGCCACTAGCTCACAAAGTAGGAATGTTTGCTCACAGGAATCCGGAGCTCAGAGGGAGCATTGGGTGTAACTCTGCTTAGGATGGTACTGGAAGCCTCTCCCACTGAAATCGCTGCTGTGCTTTGGATCCCTAGACTGCAAGGTCCCAGTGGCAAGCGCATCTCTTTGCACACGCTGCCCTAGAACAAAGTCTGAGTCCAGTGGGGGCACATTTAAAACCAACAACGTTTTATTCAAGGTATGAGCTTTCGTGTGCAGGCATACTTCCTCAGATACAGTGAAATGGAAGTAAACAGTTCATACATATAGGCAGAGGGTGAACAGCAAATTAGCAGACAACATAATTAAGTTGTTTTTAACAGAGAAAAACTAAACAGTGATAACAAGTTAAGTTTATACGGTCAAAATTTGTTTGGATTTAATTATGGGGAGATTTATTTACTGTGTCTGGATTTAATTATGAGGAAGACACAGTATATGTCAAAATATGAGACTTATTTACTGTGTTTCCCCTGCAATTAAATCCAAACAAATTGCGACCATATAAACTTACAATTGTTTAGTTTTTGCATCTGTTAAAACAACTTTATTATGTTGTATGCTGATCTGCTTTTCACGCTCTGCCTAGCAATGTTCCCTCTAAGCCCCACAGGGCTGTGAGCAAAAATTCTACCTTATGACCAAAAAGGCTAGTAGCATTAAAGTTGTGAGTCTACATTTGACTTTAGATTATTTCCATAACCTTGTAAAAATCTCAGAATGAATTATTTTAAACTATGTTTAAACTATATTTTAAGAATAATTTAAACATTATAAGAGAAAAGAGAATCAAGTCAAATTTCATTACAGAAAATGTTGTCCTGTACAGGGGTAGACCAGGCCTACAGAGAACAGGTCTACCTGCCCCTTTCCACTATATTGGTAGACCTGGCCTCAGACTATAACCCTGTGCTGAGCCTTAGAAAACATACCAGCACCGGGGGGGCGGGGGGCGGGGGGACAGACGACTCTTGCAGTATGTGTGTTTTTTTAGTGAAATATGATAACCAGCATTACAGGTCAAATATAACAGAAGTGGAACAATCACTGTCAGTACAGATCTACCCACCCCTTTCCACAATAGTGGTAGACCTGGCCTCTGGAGAACAGGTCTACCTGCCCCAGGCCACTATACTGGTAGACCTGGCCTCATACTGTCACTCTGTGCTGGAAAATCACTGTCAGAACCCTGCCTAACCTAACAAACAGGAAGTTGCTTAAATGTTATCAACCTGTCCAGACTACTTATTTATTCAAACATTTGTATCCCACTTTTCCTGTGACTCAAGGCAGCTTACAAATCATACTGAAAAGAACAATGGGCATGCAAAAAATAATCTATTTTTTCCGGCTCCATTATAGCCTATGGGGACCATTATAGTCAATGGACGCCACAGGTTAAAATGGTGAATCTATCTGGGGGTATACGGGGCTCTGTGGGGCTGCTGGCGCCTCTTCTGAAAACACCCCCCAAGTTTCAAAAAGATTGGACTAGGGGGTCCAATTCTATGGGCCCCAGAAGTGCAAAATGCTTTAGTGTGAGCGGAAGCTTAAAGTCTGAGCTAGAACTAAAATTTTGTGCACCAGCACCCCATAGCGCAGCTTAGAGGGAACTCTGGAAACAGGCATACACATGATAGTTCTAAGCTTTGCACTCATGCACACATACACACCTCTTTTCCCCAGTTTCCAAACAATTCCAGCAAACAGTTACTCCCTCCTCTTTGCCCAGCAGCTTTGTTTACTTATTCTACAGAGATGTAGCAGTAGAAGAAATAATATTATTAATGTCAAGGCACAGGAACGTCTTCGGTACACAGTCACAGGCCCTTTTTCCTTTGTCATTTACAAAGATCTTTTAAAAAGCAGAATGAATTCTTGGAAGATGAGAGGCTTTTCATGGGTTAACAGGAGACAGCTGATCTGCATTAATATTTTAAGCCTTTGTACGAGATTTCAGTTATAACCGAAAAATTTGCATTTTATTCATTTCCCACATCCCAGCACAGAAAACGTCTAACTTTTAATTGGTCCCACTGCCGCAGCAGTGGCCAGTCCTTCTCAGAAAGAGACCTCCAAGGTTTCTTCCAACAGTGGGCATTAAACAAAAGGAGAAACAGAGTCAAATAATCTGCTGTTGGTCCCCAGTTGGTTACTAGCTAGAAGTTGGTTACAGTGCAGTGGCGACATCCCTGGGAAGACTGGCAGTATGAACAAATGCAGCAGCCTCCCTGCTTTCTCATGTATTGTGCTGTGAAACAGGCCCCACAGGATGGCAGCACCCACACTAGTCTCCCCACTTTCTCCACCGCCATGCGTATTTCTCACATGGGTCCTGTGGAAGATCAGTCCTACAGAACAGAGCAGATTTTTCTGGGTTGGCACCCCTGGAAGGGTTTGGAGACACTCAGGATTAAAAGAAACAAGCATAGGAGGAAACATGAAACTCGCCTGCTAAAGACACAGCTTTCAAATTAAAGTTTTACTGTACTGTGCACAGTTACAATTCACTCCTAGGGTTACCAAACCCACAGTGGAGCCTGGAGTTCTCCCAGAGTTACAACTGATCTCTAGACTAAGAGGTCATATCCCTGGAGAAAATCTATTTATTTGCAAAACTTGTACCCTGCCTGTCTGCCCTTACAAAGGCCACCAAGGCCTTTTACATGATAAAAACCATCAAAATCAACCCCCCAACACACATCATAAAGCCCATTAGAAGCAGCCTCAGGAGGTGGTGAGCTCCCCCTCGTTGGCAGTCCTCAAGCAGCAACGGGACGAACACTTGTCAGGGATGCTTTAGGACAATCCTGCATCAAGCAGAGGGTGGGAGTAGATGGCCTGTATGGCCCCTCCCAACTCTACGATTTTATGATTCTATGAAACCTTCAAAATATGTCACCATTATTACCGTCACTGTATTACTGATATCTCTTTGTCATAATGTCATTCTAAAGTTGTGCTTCCTTAACAGTCTATTCTTTATTTTTTTCCCCAGTCTAGCAGTTTTCCCAGTTTTTTTTTCTATATATGCCTGGATCATGTTTGCCAGAGCTATTCCTATACGACCCACACCTGTTTTAGGCAAGCAGGAGCACAGCTTTGCTGGGGGGGGGGAGGATCAGAGGCAGAGAGTGTTTTTTAAAGGACACTGTCACTTACAGGGCTATTTTTGGGCAGGAACGCACAGGAATGGTGTTCCGGTTGGCTTCAGAGATGGCCACACCCACTACAGTCAAAACCTCTGTGTGCGTGGCTACAGAGGGGAGGCCTGGAGAGCGACCCCCGGTGACTCCGAGGTGGGGGGGGCAGGGGGGCCATGGAAGGATTGGGGAGGCATTTAAATGGAAAAGAGGTAGAGGAACTAGAGATCAAATTGCCAACATTCACTGGATTATGGAGAAAGCAAGAGAGTACCAGAAAAACATCTACTTCTGTTTCATTGACTATGCTAAAGCTTTTGACTGTGTGGATCACAACAAACTATGGCAGGTCCTTAAAGAGATGGGAGTACCAGACCACCTCACATGTCTCTTGAGAAACCTGTATAAGGGCCAAGAAACAACAGTTAGAACTGGATATGGAACAACTGATTGCTTTAGCATAGGAAAAGGAGTATGACAAGGATGTATATTGTCACCTTGCTTATTTAATATATATGCAGAGTACATCATGCGAAATGCTGGCCTGGATAAATCACAAGCCGGAATTAAGATTGCTGGGGAAAAGATCAACAACCTCAGATATGCAGACGATACCACTCTAATGGCAGAAAGTGAAGAGGACCTGAAGAGCCTCTTGCTAAGTGTAAAAGAGGAGAGCGCAAAGGTTGGCTTGAA